TGTTTGAGTCAATTTAGTGCAAAGAGTGTCATTATTAGGTTGTAACATTAACAAATGAAGCATTTATTTTCTAGAAAGTATCAGCCGGTTTGCCGATAGATATCTATTTTGAGCTCATGACTACTTATATGCATCATTGGTACAAACTACTGGATTTTTTGAAAAAAAAAAAATCTTTAAAATGTTGGAACTATATTCCATTCCTATAGGAGGTTCCAGAAGGAGTGGACATGTACTAGATTTACCCTAGATAGTTTTAGTTTAAGAAAAACAAGTAAAAAAACATTAAGTTCGGCCGGGCCAAACTTTTAATACCCTCCACCTTAGGGTAAAAGAAACATTAGAAGAAATGTGGCAAAAACCATTAAAATGCCGAATATCGGGAGGTACCGTTATATGGGAGCTACACCAAAACGTGGACCTATAATTACAATGTTTCGCCATACGAACTAGGACCCAGATCTTTTTAGACAAATCAGTGAAAAAATGTGGCAAAAACCATCAAAATACCGAATATCGGGAGGTACCGTTATATGGAGGCTATATCAAATCATGGACCTATACATGCAATGTTTCGCCACCGGAGCTGGAACCCATTATGACCAACAAATACCAATTTTCAGACAAATCCGTGAAAAAATGTGGCAAAAATCATCAAAATACCGAATATCGGGAGGTACCGTTATATGGGGACTATACCAGAACGTGGACCGATATATCTCATTTTCAATACCAACCACCCTAGACACAATGCAAATTGCTCTGCTACATTTTGGCGCTCTACGTCAAATAATGTGGGCTGTATCGTGATTTCAACAGACAGACGGACGGACAGACAGACAGGCGGACATCGTTAAATCGACTCAGAATTTTATGCTGATTATGAATTTATACTTTATGGGGTCTACTACTAATATTTAAGGATGTTACAAACGGAATGACAAAGTTAATATACCCTCCTTTCCAAGTTGGAGGGTATAAAAACGCTTACTTTTTCGAATGTTATGAGAGCAATATGTTTTATCTTCTGAATTTCGTCCAAAGAGACCTAGGATCTAAAACGGTAATTTCGATAAGACACATATTTGAATAATATATACCCTGTAGTCCGTGACTCTCGAAATCAACAATTTATGGGAAGTATGTCATTACATGCTGTATTTTTATACCTTCCCCCACCATTTTATGGAGGGTATATTAGCTTTGTCATTCTGTTTGTAACTCCTCAAAATATTCATAATGGACCCTATAAAGTGTATACATTCTGAATCAGCGTAAAATTCAAAAACGATCTAGAGGTGTCCGTCTGTCTATCTGTTGTAATCACGCTATTGAACGAATTGATATAGAAAGCTAAAATTTTGCGTGCATGCATAGTTTATCAGTTGGCAGGTTAAATCATAAATGGGCCATGTCAGTCCACGTCTTCGTAAAGGTGAGATGAAAAAAACTGCAACAAACTTCAGACTACTGTCATTTCTAAGCCACTCGTCCGACAGCTGTTAAAATTATTCCAGTGACAGCTTATTATATTGTTTACAAGCGTACAAAAACATTTTGGTGAGAATTTTCCAGAAAAAAAGTTATTCGTGATGGAATTCAAGCGTGTTAGTGGGATTTATTTATATTTGGCTGGAAAACCACAAGTGGCTTTCATCAGAGCACTCCAGCGTTTAAATGTGAATAAATCCTTTGTGTCTCGTACCATGCTGCAAAATATTTCGTGATAGCATATCGTAGCGTAGCCCGACGTCAAGGAAGTGGACGGAAGATAACAGCAACATCAGCAGAAATGGTTGGAAAAATAAAGAAGCGACTTGACCGAAACCTGCGTCGCAGTGGCCGAAAAACGGCTCGTGAGCTGAACATATCGCAAAATTCCCTTCGGCAAATATTGAAAAATGAGCTCGGGGTAAAGCCATTGAAATGAAATAGACTCAAAAAAGCTAAAAAACTCATTTGCTTGGCGATGAGAAAACATTCGGTATCCAGCAGTTGATAAACAAACAAAAAGATCGTGTTTACTTGCCAAAGAAGTTAGATGAAAATGTGCACCTTCGGTTGGCCACCAGAACTCAAGCGCCAGCCATGATGATGGTGTGGGCCGCCATAACAGCCGATGGTCATTCTCCACCCGTATTAATCGACCGCGGCATCGGAATAAATGCTAAATATTAACGCGGAAATATTCTGGAGGCTGTATTGAGGCTCGTGTGTACGCAAACATTTTGGTTCTTTGAGGTTCTTCGCTTCATTTCCACCAAAATCTCCGAATATAAATCCGTTGGACTATTGTGTCTGGAGTATTTTGGAAAGCAAAGTTGGCTCTAAAAAATACCAAAGAGTCGATCATCTCAAGCAAGCGCTTCGACGGGAATGGACCAAAATACCGCACAGCAACATTCGGCCAACGTGTGACGGTTTCATTGGCCGTTTGAAGGCCATAATTCGTCCAAAGAAGATAAATTCCAACAAATCTAAACTTATTCTTAAATTTGATGCTATATCCGACACTTTTTGCCTTTATTCAATAAAATTTAAAAAAAGTAAAGTAAATTATGACGTTTGACTTTGTTACAGTTTTTTTATCTCACCCTGTATATCCCTGCAGTCCGTGTCTCTCAAAATCAACAAAAATGACATAAAAAAATATATATTTTTGAATAATCAATCTTAACAGAAAATCTCCGAAAATCATTCCAAAACTCCACAATTTTTATTACGAAAGCGCTTTGGGATATTTTTTAAAAATCTTAACACTAGTCAAAGTTTTAACTACGTTTTATAACTAGAGTGAGAAACTAGAAAAATGGTCCTATAGATCCCATTTTGATCGTTTTGGGGTAGGTACTAGACAAATTGAGACGATAATTTCAATTTTTTACGCTTAATCCAATATTAGACATCATCTTACTAGACATTAAGAGGGACGGACGTACACCAACTCTATATATCCGAATCAGATTTCGTCCAAAGAAATATTGGTTCTAACGGTTTTGAACAGCGTTGGTATGTTTGTTCGAGAGGACGTAGAATTCTGTGGCTGCAAAATATTTAGGCTTAATCCCATTACTGTTGTTTTTATAAAAACAACGTTTGCTTATTAGTGAAATTTCGATAAACTACATTTTATATACCATCTGTAGAATTAAGATTGAAGGTATAAAAACCATGATCGTAGTCAGTGGATATTGTTAAATGTTTAGACATTCTTCGAACACTTTACTGGAAAATTTAATTTCTTATCGGTTGTATCTAATGATTTGTTAAATTAAAATGAGAATCATAGTTTTTCTTATTTTAACTTAACTCAATTTTTCCGTTCATCACAACCGCATATATGCCACTTGTTTATTTCAGTTTTATTTCATTCGGTATTTAGTTAGTTATTCTAATCATTTTCCCTACAAGTTTTAATTCTTTCCCAATGTTTGCATAATTTATTTGTTGTATTCACCATTAATTAAATATTTGTTCCCGTTTTATAGTTTGTTTGTTTATGACCACTAAAAGAGGCAGGCCACAGGAGCTTATTTTGTTGGCTGTGTTAACAAAGTAGGAAATTGTAGGCCATAGGCTTCCGACTCTCAGGGGGAGTGCAGACTTATACTCGTATATAAGACAATAAGGTTTGATTTTGGAATCAAATTGTTGACGAATGCCTTGACCCTAATATGTGGATTGAGATAGTTAGTAATTAAATGGGAAAACATGAAAATGAAAGGAATATGAAGTGGGCATTTATTTATTTTTTGCATTTCATTGACCTTACCAATACCACAACGCCAAAGAATCAGCACTTTTTACGAAAATTGGGGTGCAATAAATTACCCACCGCAATTTGTCATTTCGTTTTATTAACTGGAAATATTCGTCTTAGCCACGTTCGTAAGGCGGACTAATTTTTAAGCTCATAATATTTTTTTGAGACCTGAAGAATATTTATACTCTACAACACTATGTGTTGGGGGTATTATAAGTTTGATTGGGCCAAAAATTGTGTAACACCACGTAATATTGGTTTCCCACATAGAAAAGTTATATGGATCTTCCCATCTCGCCGAGCTGAGTCGATCTAACTATGTATGTCCGCCCGTCCGTCTGTCCATGTTAATTTGTAATCACTCAATTATCAATCACACAATTATTGCCTGATCTTCACAAAATTTAGAATGGAGGTCGAGCAAGAGCCAGAATAGAACCCTATTTCTTTTGGAGATAATCGATTATTATTAAGGGGTTGAAATGGACCAAAAACTGAAAAAATTCTTGATTTTCCAGTTGCTCTAGAGATTAGGGCTGGGCAGAAGCCATCCAATTTTGATGGTAATCACAACATGTGTGTTAAATAAAAGTGAAATTCTCCATTAAACCGCGAATGTTTTTAATCCCGGCGAAATCACAAATAGACGAACAGGTCAATTCTGACCGTTACGTAGATGCCGATAGTAAATATATCGGATATATAGCGAAATATATACAATGTGTATATACAAAGGAAGGGGATGATAGTTAGAATGCTTATATCTCAAGAATGGCTGGACCGATTTCGACAAAATTTGTCAATTCAGAATGCTCTCTTGACATAAAAGTATAAAATCAAAAAAAAAAAAAAATAAATAAATAAATAAATAATTATTTATTTAATTAATTAAAGATGTTAATATAGATTTTGTAGTATTTTGTGACATTTTTTTTTTCATATTTTTATCGCATGCGATTTTTTCAATTTGAACTATAATATTTTGTAATATTTTTTCACCTTACAACACAGCTTGGGGATATTATATAAGTATTGCAAATATCCGATCCTCACGAAAATTTTCCGTCCGCAATATATTTAGGGGTTAAAATGGACCAATGCATCCGTTATAAAGGTCACAAATAGAAACCAAAGGATACGAAATCTCGCATGAAGTTAGAGTTATAATAATCTTTTCCAGGGTAGTCCAGCCGAACCAGGATTTATTTATTTATTTAAAAATCATACACGTTAGCAATTAAGTCTTTATAATCCTTTTCTTTATTTGTTCAATATTTATTATTACTTCACAATATTCGAAAGTGTTGAAGCCCAGCAGAATATCCTGTACCAGCGAGAAAACGACCGTGACCGACCAGATGCAAATTTTAGACTCCCCGTCTCCTAAGGTAGCCTCTTATTAAATATTCTAGGTTTTTAAGCATGTTAATGGGTTAGTCACTATTACCTGTGAACTATAGCTGTAAAAACCAGTAGTTTCACTGTGAACTATGACTACATATAGCGTCTGGGATCTATGGCTGTGGATACCAGTAGAGTCCCTGTACACCATTACAACGCCTGGGATCTATGGCAGTAAATACCAGTAGATACCCTCTGCAGTACTACTACTGAGTTGAGCTTTGTGCCGCAAGTGTATGGCTGCTATCGAAGCTATTACAAACTTGCGATAGCTGTCCGTCCTCTGTGACAGCACAGGCTCAACTGAAGTAATGGTGGTATTTACGCAGTGTAATGGTGCTAACCCAGACAGCTATAAGTGCGGCAGAAATGCGTATGTAAAGAAAGCGCTCACATGTGAAGGTATAACAGTGATAACCACTCAGAGAGGTTATAACAGTTTAAATTGTTGTGTATGCTACGAAAGAGAATTGGTTGCTGGGCTCTATTATACTAATCTCTTATACATTCTACTCTTACAACTATATGATTTTACTCCAAATAATTATCAGACATAAATAATATACATATGTACATATTTCGAAATGCGAGTGAAATCAAATTATAATAATTCATTATGGAAATTCGAATAGTATATAGATGTAGGTGTATGTAACGGATTACTTCGTTACATCTCCCCTTTGGTTTATTTTTATTTTATTTTTTTTTTTATTCAGGAATCGTTACATCATTTCTGGGTTTTGGGAAAATCAGCTTTTCATGGCCATGGACAATCCAAACGTCGAGGGACCGACGGATATATACTTCTACCCCATGCGTTTGAGTTCTAACTAGAAAACGGGTTCGTTTGCCAGGATCTATGGGTTTAATAGCTGCAAGCACATCAGGAATCTTCACCTCACAATTATCTATATCATATTTATCTATTTCTAAATCTTTGACCAACCGGGCTAATATATCAGGTTTTTGGGTACTGCTCACAGTGGGAATCTTTCCATTGAGATTTGGTAAATATGCTATCGATTGAATTTCGATAGTTTTCCTTTTTTTGTGGTTTTCGCGATTCATTGACTCTCGGAATCTTTGGCAGCTGTGTTGAAACTTGATGTCATCAGTCATGATGGAATCTGAGGGAAACAATAAATGTTAGTAGCAAATTAGTGTTTTTTTACTCATGGAACTGTTTTAAATCTTTAATGTGGGCAGTCCCTCGGTTCTTCTTGTTGTTTATGTCAGTAAGGCGTACAATAACTGGAGAGTTGTATCCAACCACAGTAAATGGACCTTCGAACTTAGGAGCAAGTTTAGCATTAAAAAAATCGACGGATTTTGATAAGTTTCGTTTTTTTACTAACACCAAATCTCCTTTTCGAGGAGACCAATTCCGATGTCTCAAATTATAAAATTTTGCTTGATTTGATCCGGCGCGCAGTAAATTTTCTTGGACAGATCTGAAGAGTTCTTGAAGATATAAATGTTTTTCATCCAGGTTAATACGATCTTCTATAATTTCCGATTGTGTTTTCTCATCGAACAAGGTATTGGGAAGACGTAATTCTCTACCCTGCGTTAAATAAGCTGGACTGAATTTCGTAGAGCTCTGTTTACTTGAGTTTAAAGCTAACGACAACTCAGGTAGTTGTTCGTCCCATTTTCGCTGGTTATTCTCAGTAAATTGCGCAATCATAGTCTTAATGGTGCGATTAGTCCTTTCGGTGGGATTTTCATGTGGTGAATATGGGGCCGTAAATTGTTGTTTAATGCCCAGTGATCGAAAATACTTTTGACATTCACGGCTAGTAAACTGAGTTCCGTTGTCAGTTAAAAGAATATATGGAACACCAAAACGTGATAAAATTCTTTCCCGGAATGCCTTAATAAAAGATTTGGTGGTAGCCTGTCTGACTGCGATGAATTCCGACCACTTACTAAATTTGTCGAAGAACACTATCAGAGTAGTATTTCCATGAGTAGATCGCGGTAATGGACCCACAAAATCGGCACAGACAGTATGCCACGGTAGAGAAGCTGGAGTAGAATACATTTTTCCAGCTGGTAGTTGTTGGAGTGGTTTGTACCGCTGACATACCTCGCATTTCCGTACATACTTCGCTACATCACGAAACATACCAGGCCAGTAATACAATTTTGTGATTCTTGCTATAGTCTTGTTTATACCCAGGTGTCCAGCAGTTACATCATCATGAGATTCCAAAAGTACGCGCTGTCGTTCCGATTTTGGTAACACTAATTTCCAAGCGATAGGATCCTGGTCATTATATGCATTTGAGTCAAATATGTGTCGTCGAAGATTTCCATTGTGGTCAATTCGATAATCAGGTAGTTTTTCTGGCGTCTCTTGTACAGTCTTTAATTTTACCTTGTACCATTGGTCATCAATACTTCCACCTTTGATAAGCGTTTGGAGTGTGGCAGTTGAGTTATTTGGTTGGTCTAAGGGATATCTAGAGAGCGCATCTGCAATAACATTCAATTTACCTCTGCGGTATCGTATCTCATAGTCAAATTGCATCATTTCAAGGGCCCAGCGTGCGATTCGGCCCGAGGGTGACTGTATAGAGTTCAGCCATTTTAATGACTGGTGATCCGTTATTATCACGAAATGATAGCCTTCAATATAATGCCTCATTTTACGAATTCCCCAGACTATTGCAAGGCACTCCTTTTCCGTGACTGTATAGTTCTTCTCGGTATCAGACAGAGTACGGCTGGCATACGCAATAACTTTTTCCCCATCCTCGAAATCCTGGGTCAACACAACGCCTAAACCCACATCACTTGCGTCTGTTTGCAATAAAAAGGTACGACTGAAATCCGGGCACGTTAAGGCAGGAGCTTCTACCAGTTTTTCTTTTATCTCATCAAAGGCACTCTTCTGCTCTTTACCCCATTCCCATTTCTTCGATTTCTTTAAGAGGTTATTTAATGGATTTGTGATTGTAGAGAAATTCGGTATAAAACGGCGATACCAAGCTGCGGTATTGATGAAGGATCTTAGCTCTTTTAAGGTTTTCGGTTCCGGTAAAGCTACGACAGCGTTGACCTTTTCGGGGTCAGTGTGTATGCCTTGTTCACTGATAATATGACCCAAGTAACGGATTTTGTTCTTCGCAAACGTACATTTTTCTTTGTTAATTCGAAGCTTTGCCGCCACTAGTCGATCAAAAACTATTTTAAGGTTTCTTAGATGTTCTTCAATAGTACCGCCGAGAACTACAATATCGTCCAAATACGCGAAAGCAAACGATTCTAACTCTGGACCAATTATAGTATCTAGAGCTCTCTGGAATGTAGCAGGCGCTGAATGTAAACCAAAAGGCATTACCCGCCACTGAAATAATCCCCGACCGGGTACTGTAAAAGCGGTATATTGTTTACTCTCAGGTGACATTGGTATCTGCCAGTAACCGTGTCGAAGATCAATAGTGCTAAAAAATTTGCTATTTCTTAGTTTTTCTAGTATCGCATTTATTTGAGGAATCGGATATGCGTCACGTATTGAGTTCTCATTGATTTGGCGGTAATCCACACAAAGACGCCACTCGTTATTCTTCTTTCGCGCTAGCACGATTGGTGAGCTATATGGGCTCTTTGAAGGTTCGATTCGATCCTCCGTGATAAGCTCATCGATCTGGTCATCTATTACTTTTTGCATCGCCGGGTTACGTGGGTAGTAACGCTGACGTAATGGCCGATTATGTTTCATGGTGATCACGTGTTCGGTGACATTTGAATGACCTTCAATGGAATCGAAGCGAGGTAGTTGTGTTCTTAGAAATGCTTCCACCTTTTGTATTGATGCACTATTTTCTTGGCCATTTTCACAAGGACTAAACTGTAAAGAGCTAATTTGGGGTGTATTATTTGTTGACATACCGTTCTTACTCATATGTCTGCTTCGTGGGATGATGCAGAGTTTGGTGTAGGAAATTGGTGCCAATGATGATTGGATCAAGGCTGTCTCTTAAAACCAAAAAGTTGTGCTGGTATACGACGCCATTTAATACGAACCATACGTTAACCGAACCTTCTACAAAAATCTTGGACTGATCGGCCAGATGGAGTGTACTGAAGTCAGAGGGTATAACGGGAACTTGGAGTTCTCGGACTATCGATGAGTTTATGCAGGAGTGTGTTGCACCGGTGTCCACAGCAGCTTGAACTTTCCGGTTTTTGATCGTAATCCAGGTACGTAAACGAAAGTCTTCATCAATGTTGAGTACAATAGGAAAAGGTTTCATATTTAGAGATCCGCACCTTCTTTTCCTGGTGACGGATCTCTTCGAGAGTTTTCCGACCCACGTCTGCAACAATCAACCGTTTTTACACCTCTTTTCCCACAATCCCAGCAAAACAAAATTTGAGGTTTGGTACACGTTCTACGTGAATGTCCTTGTTCTCCACATCGGTAACACACATTCGATTCGTTGTTGGTAGCAACAGCCGTTTGTAAACGTCGAAAACTTTTATTTTGTGTAGCCTCTTCGGAGCGAATGCTTTCAAATTCTTGAGCTAACGTAATAAGATCACGTAGCTTTGAAAAGTCTCGCCTCTTTATATAAATCTTATATTCAGCACGGCAATTTTGAAAAATTCTTTCTAGTTGTTCTTGACTAGATAAACCTGTTAATCTCATCATAGTTTGTATAGCAGTTACATAATCTACGAAATTTTCTTTGATATGTTGTTTACGATTCCTAATATCGTCTTCCAAATTCTCGAAAAATCGTGTGGGTAAAAAGAATAGTTTGAAGTCATCAGTGAAGTCACTATAGGTTTTCCATTCTTCCTTGTTATTACGGTACCAGGATAATGCATCACCTTTTAGGAGCTCAGGCATAAAATTCAATAGCGTGTGGCGTGGGATTGAGTAACACGTGGCAAGTTCATCAATACGTTCTAGAAACCCTAACGGGTCTTTACCGCCATCATATTTAATGCCCCATTTGCGAACTTTATCGCAGACCTCCCAATGATTCTCGGAAACCATTTCTGTTTTCTCACGGGAATTAACTGGTGAAGGTGCACGTGAGATTCGTGCTGCAGGAACCTTTAAATCTTTATCTACAGGCTCCACCATTGATCTTAGCTTGTCGATTAAAACCTGGTGTTCCTTCGGGATACTTTCTTTGTCCAGATAATTTCGTAGCCTCGCCCTCATCTCATCAACTGTGCCTTCTTCATCTAGTCCCAGATCTTTAAGAGTTGAACACAGAAGGTCCTTCTTGAGTTGATTAATAAACGAACGACTCATGGTAACGATTTCAACCACGTGAATATATTGCGTAATAGGATTTTATAAAAGATAACAAAGTTTCCTTTAATAGTCCTCATGTCCCTGCTCGGGCGCCATTTATAATAATCTTTTCCAGGGTAGTCCAGCCGAACCAGGATTTATTTATTTATTTAAAATTCATACACGTTAGCAATTAAGTCTTTATAATCCTTTTCTTTATTTGTTCAATATTTATTATTACTTCACAATATTCGAAAGTGTTGAAGCCCAGCAGAATATCCTGTACCAGCGAGAAAACGACCGTGACCGACCAGATGCAAATTTTAGACTCCCCGTCTCCTAAGGTAGCCTCTTATTAAATATTCTAGGTTTTTAAGCATGTTAATGGGTTAGTCACTATTACCTGTGAACTATAGCTGTAAAAACCAGTAGTTTCACTGTGAACTATGACTACATATAGCGTCTGGGATCTATGGCTGTGGATACCAGTAGAGTCCCTGTACACCATTACAACGCCTGGGATCTATGGCAGTAAATACCAGTAGATACCCTCTGCAGTACTACTACTGCGTTGAGCTTTGTGCCGCAAGTGTATGGCTGCTATCGAAGCTATTACAAACTTGCGATAGC